TCTAGCTCCATTCCCACTTCCACACTTGTAACTGATATGATTGCTCTTTTCTGCGCATTCCTAAATGGAACACCTGTGCCACACCTGGGTACCTACTCATACTACATGCCTTCTGTTCTTTAACTGTTTGTGTGTATGTATCTTATGGGCCAAATCAGGGGAACTTCTCCAGGGCTTGGACCATCTCCTCCAGGAAGGGTAAGACAATAAGTGCTTTGGATATCGTGTGCCATCAATAAATATTGGATTACCTTCACTAATAAGTCTTTCTCTCTGTATTATTTATTAATGTCAATTTTTTTTAAATCACGTTCTCCGAGTTTTACGTTTAACTGCATGAAGACTTCGTGTTTTTCTAGTAACTTTATGTTATTGGTTTACTAATTAATAGGGCTTAACTTTTCATTTTCACCTAGCAAATGTTTCTTCCTAGGTGAGGAATTCTTGCAGTGTGCATGGTGGTGTAATAGCTATTTTTGGAAAAGTCAGCAAAAATGTGCTAAATACTGTCAGATACTCACTTTCTTCTGTCACTGGAAAGGTTTATAAATGGAAAGGTCTCACAGCTTTTATTAGATTTAAGATAGGTTCATTTGATCCTTAGCTTCTCAAATGCAACCTTTCAAGAAGAAGGATTTTTTTGGGTTAAATTTAAGACAAGGTGTTAGGAAGTAACGTGTCTCATGACCTCAGAACATGAAGGATTCTTTTATTTCTAATCCAGGCATTGACATGTAGAGAGGAACTCCTTACTCTCCTTCTGTCACTCCTCCCACTGGTATGGAAGATACCTGTTCAAGAAGAAAGGGCAGCAGGTATGTTTCTTTTCTTTATCAGATCACTTGTGTCATCAAAATTCCACTGGGGAAAAATGTTCTATTGAAAAGTTACTTCTGCCTCATTGGTTGATACAGTTCCAATTCAGAACAGTATATATTAGTATGATACTCAATATGAAAAATTCTTTAGGCAAACACATTTTTATTTCTTCTAATAATACAAAAACCATGGTGCTTCCTTGGCGATTATGTGAATGTAATGATAATGAGAAAGTAGATGAAGAAGCAGAACACTTAGCAAAAGGAGCAATCTAAGCTTGCAATGTAGCATCTGAGAAATGGATAGTGAAAAATTCGAAGAAAGACATTGAAGTTCCTTTGCTTATTTTACAGACTGCTTTCTATTACCATACTCTATCCATGACTTTTGCACTTTAGTTTTTCTAATGTTACTTTCAAAGGATAAATTTGAATATTTTGTTTTAAGGCTAAATAGAATTGCTCCACTTAAGGTTAATACATGTTTTTAGTTTATGATTTTGAAAGAATTAAATATATATATCACATTAAGTATGTGAAATTTAACTTAAATGTTTCAGTGGAGGGATTGACAGTTTTCCCCCTTGACCATGTCTGGGATGTGTGGATTGTGAGATGTCTAAGGATCTCTCAGGTTAAAAAAAAAAATCCTTCAATACTGTAGTTTAATGCCATATGTGCATTTTTAATATATTTCTGATATGGAACTCTCTTGTTAGGGAGTTGTCTAAGGTCTTGTAATGTTGTTACCCTGCTTATTAGTTGATTCACTAGCTCTCTGCTCTTATTTTCTTCTGAATTTGTAGAATTCACAAGTTGTTAATCACTTAAGGCATCCAATTAGTGTTCTTTGGGGGACATTGTCTTCATTGCCTGCATCTTTTGCAAAGGTGCAGTTTGTCAGACTCCTTTTATTATAACTTCTTCCTCTCGAGGCACAGATCTTTTTTTTACAGATTTGTATTTATTCATTCTAAATTGCAATTATATTTTTCATGTAGATTTTATTACCAATTTTTGCAAAGTGAAAGACCAATTTCATTATCTTTTAATTAGTAAGGAAAATCATTCATTTCCCCCAGAAATTAGTATTGAGTGCTGACCTCATGCGACACCCTCGGTTCCACGCACTGAGGATGAAACAGTGGTGCCTGTAATTGTGCCTCGTTTAGTGCATGGCACACTCAGTAAATATTTTGAGTGAAGATCTCTTTTAACTTCAGTGTTAGAGAATATTTGGTATCTATTGTATGATTTTGAAATAATTGGGGAAAATCTTAAAGTTCTTAAGTTATATCAGGGCTATAACCTAAATACTATTTTTGAGGATATAATATACACTGTATCTTAATTGATGGCACTGTTGGAGGAGATTTGTAAAGTGTCATGAACAGCAGTGCTAAACACCAGATAGTCTAAAGAGTCTCTTATGTTGACGTTAGAATGCAATGTATGGTTTTAGATTGGGTTTACTTTTCTAATTCTGTTCTCCTTTATTTTTTCCAAATCAATGTGTGTCCTTTGAACTAATACCACCTGGTACTTAGCATGAGAAAGGTTAAGTATGGGAGTAAGTGACCCAGAGACATGACATAGTTAGAGAAAATCAGCCCCAGTACAGGTAAACTGAGGTTAAACTCCTAAAGTGGATGCTAAGTACAAATTGAATTTAAAAACATTAAGGCGTTCTAAATTTTCCTTTTTCATTTCCTTAGATTTTAATCTACCATTCTCAGCTGATATAATCCTGGCCAAAGAAAAGAACTCAAGTTCACAAAGATCTACTCAGGAAAAATTATATTTAGAAGGAAGTGCCCCATCTGGTCAGGTTTCTGCAAAAGTAAACGTTTTTCGAAAAAGCAGACGACAGCGTAAAATCACCCATCGCTATTCCATAAGAGATGCAAGAAAGACGCAGCTCTCCACCTCAGATTCAGATGCCAATTCAGATGACAAAAGTATAGCAGTGAATAAGCATAAACGGCCCCACCAGCTGCAGCATTTGGTGACGCAGTCTCCTCAAGAAGACCTCACGGTTAAACCTGACCGCATGTCAACCAAAGAACAGACCCCTCCTGATACCATGGCTTTGGAAAGTTTCCAAGAGATCATGCCAAGACAGGAGGCAAACACCGACATTTTAAGTGAGCCCGCCGCCTTGTCTACTATGAGTCACATGCACAATTCTCCATTTGACTTGTGTCATGTTTTGTTATCTTTGTTAGAGAAAGTTTGTAAGTTCGACATCACCTTGAATCATAATTCTGCTCTAGCCGCCAGCGTGGTGCCCACACTGACGGAGTTCCTCGCGGGCTTTGGGGACTGCTGTCACCTCAGCGACAGTTTGGAGAGTCCACTGGTGTCTGCAGGATGGACTGAAGAACCGGTGGCCTTGATTCAACGAATGCTTTTTCGAACAGTGTTGCATCTTATGTCAGTTGATATTAGTACTGCAGAGGTGATGCCAGAAAGTCTTAGAAAAAATTTAACTGAGTTGCTTAGAGCAGCTTTAAAAATTAGAACTTGCCTAGAAAAGCAGCCTGACCNTCCATGCTCCAAACCACACTGGTAATTGTTTTTGAGACTTTGGGCATGTAAGGCTTGTGTGGCACAGAATCCTCAGGATTCTTTGTAGTACTTTTGTCTAGGTGACAAGGTCTCCTGGGTACCGCCTAAGTCTTATGGAGTCTTCATAAAAAGTATTACAGCCAGTGAATAACCATTTGTTGTTGTTGTTGTTGTTGTTGTTGTTGTTGTTGTTGTTGGGAGGAGAGGGGGCAAACTGTGCCCTGCAGGTTAAATCCTGCTGTCAGCATCTGTGTTTGGACAACCCATAAGCTAAGAATAGGTTTTGTATTTTTAAAGCGTTGATAAAAGACACAGAAGAATATGGGACAGAGAACATACGACTTACAAAGCCTAAAACATTTACTATTTGGTCCTTTACTGTAACACTTTGCAACCAGTGGTCTAATTCAAGAAAAACTATTAACATGATGTCCATCATCAGTGCGAAAAACAGTACATGTAACTATCCTGAGGCCTCAAAAACATTGACAAAATTCATCTATTTCTCACAAAAACTCTAAAGATAAATTAAGAATAGAGGGTTTCATATACAAAGAGTGGGAAAACCAATATTTTAAATAAGAACCTCTACAATAGAACCAATATAAGAATAACTATTTCTGCTTGATATCATGTTTTAAAAACATGCAGTAATAAAGTNCTAATATACATGTAGTAAGTGCACAGATGTTAAGTGTCTGTGTGGATGAGTTTTAACAAATATACAGAGGGTGCCAAAAAAATGTATACACATTTGAAGAAAGGAAAAAAAAAAACTATTGAAGTTGTAATTATATATGCCGAGAACAAAAGATGAATACAAGTCATGTGTATACATTTTTTTGGCACTGCCGGTATACACCTATGCTGCCACCACCCACATCACTGTCTAGGACATTTCCACCCCTTAGAAAGTTTGTCATGCCTCTTTTCAGTGAGTCCCTCCCCGGGCCCCCTGCGAGATAATTACTGTTTTGACTTCTACCATCTGAGTATAGTTTTGCTTGTTCTAGAACTTCACATAAACAGAATCATGCAGTATGTGCTTTTGTGCCTCAGAGTCACCCGTGATGTGTGAATCAATAGCTTGCTGCTTTTTGTTCTGATTGGCATTTTGTTGTATGGATATACTACAGTTTGTTCCGTCCACCTGCTGCTTGGGTTGTTTCCATTTGGCTCGTATGAAGAAAGCTGCTGTGAACATTTTTATAAAAGCCTTTGTGTGAATGTGTTTTCATTTCTCGTGGGTAAATATCCACACATGCAATTGCTGCAACAAAGGGTAGGTTTTGTTTGTTTGTTTTTGGTTTTTTTTTAGCTGAGCCATCCTGCCACCTTTTGGCAGCTCAACGGCTGCTCAGCTCGGGCCAGGCATCGAACCGCTGTTGCTCAGAGCTCAAACTCTTGAGCGAGCTGTTAACCAACTGAGCCACTCGGCCGGCCCAAAGGGTAGGTTTTATAAGAAACTGCCAAACTGTTTTTCAAAGTGGTTGTACCACTTCATTCTCACCAGCACTGTGTGGGGATCCCATGCTCTCTAATATCCTGTCTACATCCTCTCTAATATTGGATCCTCTCTAATCCTCTAACACTGACATCCTCTCTTAACAGTCAGTATGGCCAGGCTGTTCAGTACCAGCCGTACTAAGTGAATGTGAAGCAGTATCTCTCTGTGGTCTTCATTCTCTGACAACTAGTGATGTTTTCATGTGCTTTTGGCCATTTGCACATCTTCTTTTGTGTGTTCAAGTTTTGTGCCCATTTTAAAAGTCACGTTATTTGTTTATTATCCAGTTGTGGTAGTTCTTTATATATTCTGGATAAAAGTCTTTGTTGGATTGTGAATATGTTCTTTATAGCTCGCCTTTTCATATCTTAACAATGTCTTTAGAAGAGCAGTTTTTTTTCTTTGGGGAATAGTGCTTTTTGTATCCTGTCTAAGAAATCTTTGTCTTACAACCCCAAAGTTGCAAAGATATTCTCCTATGTTTTTTTTCTAGGAAATTTTTAGTTACTATTGTTACTTTTAGGTCTCTGATCCACTTAGGATTAATATTTGTGTATGGTGTGAGGTGGGAGTTATGGTTCCTTTCTGTCCTTTCTCGCTTTATCGTTTACCTGGTTGTTCCAACATTTCTCCTTAAAAGTCTGTTCTTTCCGCCACTGAATAACCTTGGCGCCTTTGTTGAAAATCATTGACCACATATTTACGGTTTATTTTTAGACTCTATTCTGCTCCACTTATCTGCCATATATATTCTTAGGCTAATCCCATACTGTCTTGATAACCGTGGCTTTTATAGTAAGTCTAGAAATTAGGTGGTGTAAGTTCTCCAACTTGTTCTTCGTTTTCAGGAATCTTTGACTATTCCAGGTCCTTTGTATTTCCATGTAAATTTTAGATTGGACATTGGTCTGTGTCTTCAATATTTCACCATTAAGTGTGATGTCAGCTCTAGGTTTTTCTTAGATGCCTCTTATCAGAAGTTCTCTTCTATTCCCAGTTTGTTGAGAGTTTTTATTCTGCATGAATGTTGGATTTTGTCAAATGCCTTTTGTGCATCTATTGAGACNGGATTATTATTGTAATAATACCCAGAATCCTGATAGGAATCCAGGAATTAAACCATTAAGCAAGGTAGCACTGGGAATTTCTTGGGTTTCCCCCTTTCATGTTTACCTGCTTCTCTTTGCATCTTTTTGGTTCATTTTCACCCAGTTGACTTCTCAGCCTTTACTCCCTCATCATGACCACCACAGGCCCATCTCTATGTACCTGCACATCAAGTCTGCCCCTTCATTCAAATTCCTATGGGAGAGAAGGAAAATCTTCCCTGCCCAGTGCCTCTTTGCAAGCTGCACCGTACAGGTCACACCTTGCGGCCGGCATGTTTATTGGCTGCTCCTAGACCAAGCGTGCCGGTTGGGTAGGACCCAGGAACTGGCTAGGCTCTTGGCCATAGGCATGGTCGTGTGGCCCACTGCCTTCTCAGCAGACCATGGGGAAGGCTCTCCCCCAAAGTGGGTGAGGAAGACTATGCGATACTCATCTTATTTAGCTTAACTTCTCCAGGTTAAAACGTTTTTAAAGTTACTGGATGTCTCAAAATTACTTGTAGCCCTAAGATGAAATTATTTTGAAATTCTTTGGGTAATTTGTTATGCTTAATTTTTCCTTTCTAAATATTTGTACATTTTTTCTTTATATTTGTGTTTTCCCATCTCTTTTTGTCTGCTTTACTTTACTGTTTTCCTTACTGTTAAAACTTACATAGCCCTTTGTTTCAAATGTGTAGTCAGAAACAAAGTGGCATAACTTCAGCTGCTAGAAGTTAAGTCTTCTTCAGTTTTTATTCCCTTGGAGGTAAATCCTCCCCCTGGCTCCATTAACTAAACTGGTGTTTGGGAAGGGTGGGTCAGTGAATGTCCAGTTCTGTCAAGTGAAAAAAGTTTATATTTTTAAAAGACCCATGTATCTTTTAAAACATATAAAGCAGGAATATTTTACTTGAGTTCTGCAGAATTTAAAACAGAAAGGCAGGATCTACCTTATCTGCCACCATTCACTGGTATCCTCTGCTTAGGTGCTGTCACTTCCCCATTCTCAGTTATGCTCGGGCATCTCACACCCAGGACTAATTTCTGCCATGCTCAAATGTTTAAGGAGCACCCAGTTAGGTCGGAGCTATGTCTGAAAATGTTATAGAGTTAAGTACCAGTGCCCAGTAATGTAAAGTCTTTAGTTAAAAACAAACAATAAAACCTCATGGTTTTAAGTGTAGATTTTTGTTTTTCTAACCTTTTTTTTGGGTAATGTTTATTTTATGTATAGCTCGGTCATGAGCATCGATAGTAACTCTCTGGCACGTGAATTTCTGAGCGACGTCAACCGGCTTTGCAATGCAGTGGTCCAGAGGGCAGAGGCCAGGGAGGAAGAGGAGGAGGAGACACACATGGCAGCCCTCGGACAATACCTGGTCCACGGTCGAGGATTTCTGTTACTCACAAAGCTAAATTCTATCATTGATCAGGTAACATTTTCATATCAAATAATTTTTTTCATCAGTATATTATAGTTAATTATAGGTACATAAATTTGGGATTACGTAGTTTCTGAGAGTCTCTTTGAGATAAAGTCCTAGTTCTCATCACTCAAGCAAAGGAGCCCCCTTTATGAATATATTATTTATTTGGATACTTTTCAAAATGTCTAAATATCTTAGAATTATAAATGGCCTTCTAAAGTGGTTTCATATATACTGTTTTTTATCCTAATGTCAGTGTGAGATAACTATGATTATTAGTAGAGATATAAGATTACAATTCAGAAACATAAATTTGCACTTTCAATAAACATCAGATATGTTTTTGAAAAGTTTATTGTAAATTATATTTAGGGAGCTTGCTAATAAATATGGGGTGAAAATAGAGAATCCTTTGTGTGAACTAATAATTAGTGAGTCCTTTAGCATCTATACATCTAGATTTTGTACATTATTGTGTTTGCTTAAAGTATAGTATGACCATATGGTATTGTGCTGATTTTTTTCTTATAGAATTAACAGAATTTTAAAGCAAGTTGGGAATATAGAAATGTTTTCATTCAACATCCTTTTGTAGATGAAAACCTGATATGCAAAAACAATTAAGTAACTCAGACAAGGTTAACTTGAAACCCAAATGTGATTTATACCTTCATTTCATTTTAATGGAAAACAAATATTTATTTTATGAGAGAAAAACTCCACCATCTGCTTTTGGGGACTAATCAATGTGGTTAGATAATATTTCAGTTAATTTGAATTGAAAGGTAATAAGGTCTCTCTAGCGCCAATATGAGGCACATATTTAAACATTCTAAATGTTACTGGCTTTAGATGGACACTTAACCATTGTTATATTTCTTACTATGAAAGCATTTTTCTAATAAATACATATGTTGGGTGAATATAGAGACTACAATTAAACCATGCCTGTTTTCAGTGTAAGCTGAGGAACCTAACAAATATAAGGAAGTATTTGTTCACTGTGGTGTCCACCTGTCATGGAATATTCCAGAATATTCATAGGTTCATGTATTTTTATTCTTTTTCATGGATGTGACTTATTAAATGTGTGAGTAAATGTAATTTAAGTTTTATATATTTGTATGTCTTTTCTATAAATAAATGAAAAATCAGAAAAATTTATTTGTTAGACTATGTGTAGTGATTTTTCTTTTGAAATTGTGATGATTTAATATACATATCATGCTCTGTTTGTCTTCTTACCCCCACATTAGAATAATTCAGTGTTTTCTCTTTTTTAAAGATACTATATAAATAGCATCAGAAATATCAAATACCCAGGAATAAATCTAATAAAATATGTACAGAAGTATGTGTAGAATTCTATAAAACATTATTGAGAGAAACTAGAGAGGACCCAAATAAATACAGAACTACATAATTTTCATGTATTGGAAAAATTACTGTTGTAAAGATATCTGTTTACTCCAAATTGAGCTATAGTTTCCAAAGCAATCCCAATCAAAATGTCAGTGGCTTTTTCTTAATGATAGCTTTACTGAGATAGAATTCATATATAGAATTCACTCATTTCACATACAGTTCAGTGGTTTTTGATGTAGCCACAGGTTTATGCAACCATCACCACAGTCAATTCGAGAACATGTTCATCACCTCAAATAGAACCCCTATGCTTTTTAGCTGTCACGCCCCTATTCCTCCCATCCCCCTCAGCCCTAAGCAAACACTAATCTGCTTTTTGTCTCTATAGATTTTATGCTTTCTCTTTTAAGTCATGAAATGTCTTTTAATATTTTATTAAATTATGGAAATCATTCACATCATAACTGAATAATATGTCTTCCTATGGTAATATTTTGTAATCCCCTTTCTTCCCCTAGTCACTTACTTTTTTGGAATAGCTATAGCAATGATAATAGGAACAGTAGAAGTAAAAGGAGAGTGAAATTAATAGCCTTTTTAAAAATAGCACTTATCAATATTTAACTGTTTAAACCAGGGAATGGAGATTGATCATTTGGATCTTTCAGGGGGAATTTAGTTGCACCAGATTTAATTATTTAAGGTGGAATCAAAACACTAGATTCAAAGCTCTACGTTTCAGGAGGAACTTTAGCTCTTATATCTGCGCTTCTCACGCGGAGAAGCACTTGTTGGGCGCTCTGGGAAAGAAGCAGTTTAAGCCCTCACCCATCTACTGCAGTCCTTTTATTTTAGTAATCAGTGTTTAATATAAAGAATTATACAGGCTTTATTGACATCTAATATACATGTAGTAAGTGCACAGATGTTAAGTGTCTGTGTGGATGAGTTTTAACAAATATACAGAGGGTNTTTTGCACCAAGACAAAAGAAAACACTACAGGAGGTCGGGGAAGGTTTTGTGTTTTCAAGGCATCGGCACAGAGCCCTCCTCTTACCCGAGATTCTGGAAGGAGTGCTGCAGATCCTCCTCTGCTGTCTTCAGAGTGCAGCTTCCAATCCCTTCTTCTTCAGCCAAGCCATGGATTTGGTTCAAGAATTCATTCAGCACCATGGATTTCATTTATTTGAAACGGCAGTTCTCCAAATGGAATGGCTGATTTTAAGAGATGGTGTTCCTACCGAGGCCTCAGAACATTTGAAAGCCCTAATAAATAGCGTGATGAAAATAATGAGCGCTGTGAAAAAAGTGAAATCAGAGCAACTTCATCATTCAGTGTGTACACGAAAGAGGCACAGACGGTGTGAATACTCCCACTTTATGCACCACCACAGAGACCTCTCGGGCCTTCTGGTTTCAGCTTTTAAAAACCAGGTTTCCAAAATCCCATTCGAGGAGACCGCGGACGGCGAGGTTTACTACCCCGAGCGGTGCTGCTGTCTTGCAGTGTGTGCTCACCAGTGCCTGCGCCTCCTGCAGCAGGCCTCGCTGAGCAGCACGTGCGTCCAGATCCTGTCCGGAGTCCACAACGTCGGGATATGCTGTTGTATGGACCCCAAATCCATCATCATTCCTTTGCTCCATGCTTTTCAGTTGCCAGCCCTGAAAAGTTTCCAGCAGCATATATTGAACATCCTTAACAAACTTATTTTGGATCAGCTAGGAGGAGCCGAGATATCACACAAAATTAAAAAAGCAGCTTGCAATATTTGTACTGTTGACTCCGATCAACTAGCTAAGCTAGAAGAAACACTGCAGGGGGATGCCTGTGACACAGAACCTTCCTCGGGGTTACCCAGTCCTTCTTACAGGTCTCAAGGGATCCTGCCCAGCAGTGGGGCTGAAGACATGCTGTGGAGATGGGATGCCCTAGAGGCTTATCAGAATTTTGTTTTCGAAGGAGACAGATTACATAGTGTACAGATTGCAAATCACATTTGCAGTTTAATCCAGAAAGGCAATGTAGTTGTTCAGTGGAAATTGTACAATTACATATTTAACCCTGTGCTCCAAAGAGGGGTTGAGCTGGCCCACCACTGTCAGCACCTCAGCACTCCTTCAGCTCAGAGTCATGTGTGTGGCCGTCACAGCCAGTGTTTGCCTCAGGAAGTCCTTCAGCTTTATTTAAAAACGCTGCCTTCCCTGTTTAAATCAAGGTCTGTATGCGGATATATTTTTTAATGTAGGCTTTCGAATAGCTTTACCCTTTATTCTTTCATAGGATTTCATTTTAGTTTAACAACAACAAAAAGTTCCCGTCCCATGTCAGATATTTTTTTTACACTGATTTATTTTTCTATTATTTATTTATTCTTACTGGGGGTTATGGAGGAGAGGACAGAGCCATTGATTTTTCAGTGGAAAAAAAAAGTAAAGTTTTAAAAATATATTTCTGAGAGAAGATGGACACAACACATCTCCAACAGCTGGGGCAAGGTTAAATTAATTATATTTACCCGATGGAACATTATTAGCCATTAAAAACAATGGTTACAAAGATCCTGTTGGGACACGAGAAAATACTTAAAATGTTTTATTAGTAAGATATATAAAAATAGAAATATTGCCCACTTATTTACCACTATGCAAAATATGCACATACATGAAATGATAATTATCGAGGACTGGAATTAAGGAGATTATTATTTTTTTGATACCATATTTACATTTATTACCTAAGCAATATAGGTAAGAAAATTAGAAAACACAGAAAATCAAAAAGAAAGAAAATCAAAATTAGTTAGAATTCCACCAGTGAGGTTTCCAGAATTTGTTTTTTTATTTTATTATTTTT